AGGGATCCGAAGCCCTCCTCTGACCTTCATAGGCACCAGGCATACATGTGGCAAACAGATGTACACGCAGACAAAACATTCACACACAATAAATAAAAATATTTAAACAAAAGTCACCTGAGGTCGTAAGCCTATTTGAGACTGCATGTAAAGAGATAACTTTATTGATAGCACGTTAAAATATTTGAGATGTATTAGTTTAAATAGAACACAGTATTGTTAATTTTTGTTAAAAGGCTGGGGAGTGTTGGTCACTGGTTCACTGGTAAAGTGAGTGCTTAGAATGACCAAGGCTTTTAGTTTGACCTCAGACATTAAGAACAGGAAAAGAAGAAGGGAGGAAGGGAGAGAAGAGCTGATCTGAACACCAGTCACAGGAAACGGTCACTGGGAGGGGAGAGAGAGAACACAGACTGGCTGCACGGGGAACCACATTTTCACTTTTGTAGCATGGAGATGGTAGTTACAGAAATCTATACATGTCAGCAAACTTCATAGATCTAAACACATATACCTTAAACAAAACAAACACTGAGTACTTTTCTTAAAAGGCAAGATCTGGCTAAGGTTTGTAGCCTGATAAATGTATTTTGGTTATGTCAATTTACTGGTTTTGATAATACTCTTCACTTACGTAAGATACTACCAGCAGGAAAACTGAGTAATGGATACTTAGCACAGTTCAGAACTTTTTTTTAAAATCTACTTATTACTTATTTTGGTTTCTTTGAAAGAGTTTTACTCTGTAACTCAGTACACAAACCAAATTGGCTTGAATTCATGACAATCCTACTTGAACTCTTGGATGCTAGAATTATAGGCTAGGGACACCACATTCAGTTTTCTTGACTTATTTTGTGCTTATATGATAGTCTGTGTATATTTTGAATAAAAATGAAAAAGCAAAACAGCAGCAATGGCCAGAGCTCATGGCACACACTGGTCACCCCAATATGTGAGGCACTATGATTACAAGTTTGAACTGGCCTGAACTACAAAGATTCTATATCAAGAACAAAAATGAGCCAGGAGTAGTGGTGCACACCTCTAATTCCAGCTCTCTGGAGGCAGAGAGATCTCTATGGGCTAAAGACCAGCCCGGTCTACATAGTAAACTCTAGAACAGTCAGAGCTACACAGTGAGAACTTGTCTTGAAATAAAAGAAGAAAATAAAAATAGTAAATTATAAACCCACTCAGTAAGAAAGCACAATTTGGTATAGGTATAAATAATAAACTAAATTTGCTAAACAGTAAAGTATTTACATAATTTCAAAATAGCTCACATAAAATATTCAGTTACATGGGAGGAGAGTAACTTTACAATGGTAACATGTAACTACCACAACCTTACTAAGCAATTAAAGTGATGGTTTCCAACCACGGGACAAATCAATACTGTGCAACATGATAGGATGCAATGAAGAAGGTCGATATAATTTGTGTGGCATAACTAACAGACATGCAATCATCGTAAAACAATTGTTTTATAAAATCTTCAAAGTGTCAAGATTATGAACATGAAGAAAGTAGCGAAGCTGGCTGTGGTAGATCGGGCCTTTAATCCCAACACTTAGGCAGACAGATTTCTGTGTGTCCCAGGTCAGCCTGGTCTACAGAGTCAGTTTCAGGTCAGCCTTGGCTATTATTTAGAGAGGCCCTGTCTCAAAATATTCAAAAACAAAAGAAACCACTGAAGAAACAACTTCAAAGGAGAAATATTAAGCATGTATAATAACTAATAACTAATACAATATGCAATTCTGAATTGTTTGCTTTGCTATAAAAGACACTAGGAGAAATAGACACCTGTAATGAAGCAATATCAATTTCCTAACCCAGGTGTTTTCACTGTTGCTACATAGGAGAGCTTTTAGGAAATAGGAATGTGCCATATTAAGTGATGAGGCAGGTCAATAACTCCTTCCTAAATGACAATGTAGGAGAACTTACTCCAAAAAATAAAATCAAAAGAAAGGAGAAAGGTAAGAAAATCATATCTGAAAGTGTGACTACATGTTACCATGTAAAATGCTCCTCTCTTATGCTGATTAACAAGCAGCCAATCACAGCAAAAGGAAAGATTCAACAGCACACCTGACCAGATTGTTCTCCATCCCACACAGCAACAGCAGAACACACATCTTTCAACCACACATTGGTCAAAATAAAAATATCACTAAGCAATTCTGAATGCCTAAATATAGTGAAATCATTAAAAGTAATCACCGTGGCCACAATGCAGTTAAGAAACACATAGCACTAGTCAATGGGACAAGGAAAAAAACCTGAAAACTACATAAAAACTCTCTATAAACATATTAGAAAAAAAAGTTGAAAATTAACTAAAAAGGATGAATGCATTAAAAATAAACATTTACTTTCAAGAAGGTAGAAAAACAAATTAACATGCAAAATAAAAGATAAAAGTAGAAATTAACAAAAGTGAAAACACACAATACAGAGGCTTACCAAAACCCATATTTTAAAAGCTTAACAAGAATGACCAGATTACCAATATCAGAAATAAAAAACCTAATGCCACAATGGTTTATCACCATGACAACTTAAAATAAGACAAAATTTTTTTAAAGTACTTTTTCAAAACTGACACCAGAAAAAAAAAAATCTGTGTACGATCATATGCATTAAATAAGTTGAACCAGTAATAAAAACTTCCATCTATGAGAATTTCATTGATGAATTCTACTAACTGTACAAACCTATCTCCAAATCTTCACAAATTACCAATACTTTCAGGAAATCAGTTCAAGCCTGGAAGATTACAACTGAATACTTCTCATGATCACAGCTGAAAAATCTTTAAATATCAGGCAACTATATCAATATAGGATATAATAAATTAAGGATGTAGATAGTAATCTCTACAAACCACAATAATGTTTTCCCTCCATTTCTGGTGTTCAATCACCAACTTCTTTTTAAGATTTTTCCTTCCTTCCCCACTTTGATTCCTTAGCTGGAGAGGTTGGCAAGAAAGTCTATGCTTCCTTTGGTACCAGCAGGAAGCTTAAGCCCTTCATGCATGTCTTCTGCTCTAGCTACCATTAGCCCAACTCACCTTGTATGCTTTGTTCAAGCTAGTCCAGACCTATTAGAGCCAGACCTCCGAGATATTTTTGTGTGAATGATAAACTTCCTTTCAAATTCTCTTGGTGTGATGAGAACTGAATTTTAAGTATGAATCCATCTTGTTACTGCCAAATACTGTGATACATGTATGTCTCTCCTAGGGTCCTCTTTGTTGTCTAGGTTCTCTGGGGTTGTGGAACATAGGTTGGTTTTTCTTTGCTTTATGTCTGAAAGCTACTTATGAGTGAATACATATTTGTCTTTCTGGGTCTAGATTATCTCACATTATATAGTTTTTCTAGATCCATCCACCAAATGCAGTTCTTTTTTTAAAAAATATTTATTTATTTATTATGTATACAATATTCTGTCTGTGTGTATGTCTGCAGGCCAGAAGAGGGCACCAGACCTCATTACAGATGGTTGTGAGCCACCATGTGGTTGCCGGGAATCGAACTCAGGACCTTTGGAAGAGCAGTCAATGCTCTTAACCACTGAGCCATCTCTCCAGCCCCCCAAATCCAGTTCTTAATCACTTCAGCTTTGTAAAGGGCTTTGAGCTTCTCAATCCTTTCCTTCTACATCTTCTCAGAAGTGTGAATTAAAATTAAATTGAAAAAAATGTAGATGAAAGAAAGTTCATCCACAAGAAATGTTAAAAGAAGTGTTCAAGAATGTGTACGACCCAGCTGTGTAGGGAAGTGAGTCCCTGCTTTGCTTCAATAAGCTGTTACTGCGCCATCTTCTCCCACCAGCACCATTGTGCACAAGGGACAATGCCTTGGCTTCCCAGTCAATCACGGAATCAAGTTGTCATGAAAACTAAATAAGACTGTATATCACTGTCACTTCTGCCAGTAGATTTTGAATAAACATTTCCCTTTCCTCCTTGGGCTTTCCACTGTAGTATGCTACCTTCTCAACCATTAACACAAAATCGTTAGCCATAAAGACTTATGAAGGGAAAACTAAAGCTATGAGGAATTACTAATATTAAGCCAAGTAAGACAAACCTAATTAACCTGCCCATGAATTGAGTTTCCATTCCTATAAAACATGGTAAGAGAAACTTCACATCCAGAAACATGATGATTTTTTTTACTGTTGGGTTGGCTAAAGTGCTTATATGCTAGGTGACTAAATACTATAAAGTCGTGAGGCACTTTTTAAAAATCTCTTATAAGTACTAAATATAATAGAGAACTTCTAGCTAGAAAGGGAGAAGAGAAATACAAGCAAAGAGAGCATGCAAGCAGAAATATGGTGAGTCATGACTGTGAACTTAACTGGATTGAGAAATGACTGGATATGTTTGAGGGTATTTGCAGAACTAATTAGATCATGACAACTCTGATCTAGGAATAATTCAAACTATCGATGGACTCAAAATATGAACAGACTACTGTGAGATGGCAGAACTGTCCAACGTGGAGAACAGTTGGAGAAATTACATCACTGGGGGCATTTTCTTGGCGGCTCCTCCACATCATCCCCTTATGCTATCTATGATGATGAAGCAAGCAAACATCAGCTGCCCCCACTAAAACCATGACCAAAATAAATCTTTCCCCACTTATGTTTCAACCTCCCAGGAAATCATCAGTGCATCTCCAACATAAAAATAAGTCAATTGTACCAACGGATAACCAAAGTTTCTTTCCAAAGTTTTAGATTTCTTCTATCTGATGTCAAATCTTGCAAAAACGCTCTTTTCCCATGTTACTTCACATGTTCACTTATTTACATACCTCTTAAAAAAGACTTCTATCAGACCAGTTAGATTCAATCTTCTGTAAAGAAATCACACTGCTCTCTGCCCTCACTCCCACCCCACAGTCTTTCCAATTACTTATTTTAAATCCTTTGTTATACATTCCATCAGTTTGCCTCTTATCACAGCAACTCACCCATCTGCAGATACTGGAGTCCCCTCTGGTTTGGAATATCCTTCCAAATCTGAAATGTTCACTTGTGTTTGCCTTGACGTTACTATCTGGCTATTCTGAGTAGGTTTGGTTTTCAAGTCCTGAGAAATAGTCTCACTATCTGGAAGAGAAGACTGTGCAACTTGCAAGTCCAGTGGAGAGTTATGTCCTAGAAAACCTAAAGATTCTTGATCCTGTGCTACAGGTTTACAGGTCAGTAATTTGGAGGTTGGTTCCAATGACCTTGAAGATACAGTTCGAAGATCAAAGTCAAACTCACTATTAATTCTTGTTTTAGAAGCAGGATCCAATGAATGAAACCTTTTATCTAAGGTTCCACTATCCAACTTGGAAGAAGTCTTGGGACAAAGAGTTATACGAAGACATGAAAGTGCTTTCCTATTTGGAGGTGGAATAGATGCAGATGTACAGTGGTCAGGGGCTGACTGGGAGATCAAATTACTGAACTTGGCTTCAACATTTATCATATTAGAAAACTGTGACTGAGGTATATGCTGAGTCTTTTTTACTACACAATCCTCACCTTGAGAAAGAGGGAATGGCTGTTTTCTCATGTGGTCGTCTACATCTGGGGATTTGCATTCCTGCTCATCAAGAAAGTCGGGAGAAGGAAGATCTGCAATTATATAATCCTGGCACTTAGGAAAGAAAGAATGGTCTTCTCTGTTTTCACTATCTACATGTGGGGCTTGGCTTTGCTCAAAGAATTCTCTCTTTTCAAGAAAAATACAAGAAGCAATGTCTGGACAAAATGGAGAAGAGTATTTCCTCATCTGGTGATCTGTATGTGGAGTGTGGCTTTGTTCAAAGAGCTCTCGTTGTTCAAGGAAAATACAAGAAGGTAGATCAGGAGCTACAGTTACATTCTTCTCTTTTACATCAAGTGTAGTATTTAGTTCGTCTGGGTTAATAATGGTATCCTTACCAGAAAACTGAATTCCCTTGAAAGTGCTATAGTTTGGACTGACACTGGGTTCAGAAGGACTGGCTTTAAACTCTGATCTTTCTAAAAGTTTTCGTTTTTGATGAGAATGCTGAAAATCAAGAAGTAATTTTTGCCTTTGCTTACTACCCTCTGCTAAAACAGTCACTGGTGAATGACTATGCCTTTTAAGTGATGAAGGGGAAGAGGTTTTCTGTTTAAGATCTCTAAGAGAAATCTGCTCTTCAGAGATATGAGACTTAAACACTCCTAAAGATGGTCCAGTATACTGGCTACCTTCAGTAACACCAACCTTAACAACAGAGGAATCAGAAATGTACTTAGAGGGTTGGTGAGAAGAAAAAGTGACGGAGGTAGTGAACTCCTCCGTGGGTTCAGGGGGCAGTATTTGTGACGAGGAAAGAAAATCCATTTCTTTAGATGCCACACAAGTAGGCTCTACTAATCCCAATGGCTGAGGGTCCATGTTTGCATGGAATGGCATTCCAACACCCTTGCTAATTTTGATGTCATCAGGTGCAAGTTTTTGAAATGGGGGATGACTCTGTAACTGAAAGGAATTCCAGACTTTGAAACGGGTATTGCTCTGATCTATCGATCTGGAAAGGTTGATGTGCCTGCCTCTCCTTGATGATGGGCTCCGTTGTCCTCTAATCAAATCTGAAGGTTCAACAGGTCGGAAAACACCATGGCGGCTGTCTGGTCGTGGTCGCTCAGCAGTAAGAGTCCTGAAACATCCTTTCTCATGACTCTCAATAACAATGTGACTGCATACAGCTTCAGGCACACATCCTATTCCCCGTGGACTCTGCAAGCCCTAGAAGATATAAAAAGGTTCCTACTTAAAGTAGTTCAAAGTTATATACTGATGAGTTTCATATCCAAGCTAAAAATGACCATGAAGGTCATCTTATTTGTCTACAAGACAGGTCAAAGGATCAGCAAGAAAAATGAAACTTTACAGGATAAAATAGCTCATGATAATGAAGAGGACTTAGGAAACTCTTTTAAAATTGTTCTTCTTGGGGCTGGAGAAATGGCTCAGTGGTTAAGAGCACTAGCTGTTCTTCCAGAGGTCCCATGTTCAGTTCCCAACACCCACACCAGGCTGGTCACAACCATCTGTAACTTCAGCTCTAGGGATTCAATGCCTCTGGCCTCCAAGGGCACCTGCATTCATGTACACATGCCTACATGCACACACACGCACATTTATACATTGTTAAAAAATACTAAATATATTGGGGTATAGCAGTGAATGCCTTTAATTCCAGCACTTGGGAGGCAGAGGAATCTCTGGGTTCGAGGCCATTCTAGTCTACAGAACAAGTTCCAGGACAGCCAGGGCAATGCAGAAAAACCTGTGTCAAAAAAAAAAAAAAAAACAAAAACAAAAACAAAACAAAACAAAAAAAAACCCAGTAACAATAGAAGTAAAAAGTAAATCTTGAAAAAGAAAACACACACATGAATACACCAAAACAAAACAAAAAGCAAAAAACAAAACTCAAAACTCAGCAATGAGACTGTGTCAGTGGTAAAGTGTTTCCCTGACCATGGATGATGGTATGAGTTTGATTCCTAGCATAACACACATGCAAACAAACAAACAACAAAAAAGGACACATAGATATGTCAATAAACAGGACATAAAAAGATGAGAGAAATAAGAAAACGAAAAGAATGTTCAACATCAAAAAACATTAGGAAAACGTAAACCACAACTACAATAAATACTTGGGAGGCAAGGGCAGGAAGATCTCTATAAGTTCAAGCCTGGCCTCACTGTTCCAGGACAGCCAGAGCTACTTCTTAGTGAAACCCTATCTCCAAACAAACAAACAAAAACACAACACAGTGTCTTTCTAGGGGCTGGAGCGATGGTTCAGTGGTTAAGAGCACTTACTGCTCTTGCAGAGGACCCAAGCTCAGTTCCCAGCTACCATTATTAGTCCAGCTCCAGGGGATACAATACCCTCAAGCTTCCATGGGCACCTGCATGTACACATAAATATGCACGCACACTCACATGCACATAAACAAAAATTGTGTGTGTGTGTATGTGTGTACTGTATTTTACGTTTCCTGACAAACCTAACAGAATGGCTAAAAAAACAATACTAAATGCTGTTGAGGATACGGGTAAGTGAATCACTTATCTTTAAACAACATGGCCACCAAATAACCCAAATTGAACTCCTGGACACTGACACCACAGAAACAAATGCATGTTCCCACACAAAGCAACATGAATGCTAGGCAACCTTTGTTTATAAAACCCAAGATCCAAAAACCACTAACATGTTCTCTTTTTTTAAAGTAATTATTTATTTTTATTTTATGTATATTGATGTTTTGCCTCCATGTATGTCTGCGTGAGGGTGTTGGATCACTTGGAACTGGAGTTACAGACAGTTGTAAGCTGTCATGTGGATGAGGGAAATTGAACCTGGGTTCTCTGGAAGAAAAGCCAGTGCTCTTAACGGCTGAGTCATCTCTCCACCTCCCTAAAGTGTTCTTCCCAGGTGAATATTTAAACATACTGTGGGGCATTCAAAGCAATACAAAGAGAAGGTTATTGATAAAAGCAATACCTCCCTAAGTTTCTAAAGAATTACTCTTAATTCAAATGTTTCAGTTATTCTGAATGAAAAGGCCAATTCAAAAATGACTTCATTTTTATGACATTCTTGATATTACAAAATATATAAATAGGGACTAGTCTAGTGGTTGTTAAGTGTTACAGAAGAGGTAGCTATGACAGGGTAGCCTTAGCTAGTTTAGTTTTCAGTATCCTGACTGTATTAAAGTCAATGTCATAGCTGGGATCATTAAAAATTTGCCAAGCATTGGCTGGGCACAGAGGTGCATGCCTTTAATCCCAGAACTTGAGAGTCAGAGACAGGCAGATACAGACAGGCAGATCTCTGTGAGTCTATAGTGTAAATTCCAAGAACAACCAGATCATATCAGGCTTTGCAAGATATGATCACTGAAGAAGCTGGAAGCAGGACACATACCACACACCCTCTCTTCAGACCACTTTTTATAGCTGCATGTGATACAATTTAAAACATTTGACTTTTAAAAAAAATTCAATTAAGTATACCAAGTTGTCCTTTTTTAATCTGACACATCACTAGGAAATCCAAGTTTCCTCCAGTTTAAAACTGGAAGGGATTAGATTGATACTTACCTAAACTGTGTTTCTAGCTCTGTAGCCTACTTTTTCCTGTTACTTCTTTCTATGAACCACTCCATGGCCTACCTTTCCTGTAACATCTTTCAAGTTTTAATAAATCAAATTTTAAGTGATCTTCCCACTTTAAAACTCTTTAGATTTTGGGATGACAAGATGACCCAGTATGTAGATGCTTACTGTCAAGCCTGACTAAGTTCAATCCCCAGAATTCACATGGTGGGAGAAAGAATAGACTTTTGCAAGTTGTCCTCTGACCTTGGTGTGGTACCCTCCCCACAAAATGAAAATATGCAATTTATTCTAAGTTCTTATTGCTTTAGTGGTGTGGGGGGTACTTCTGTCTATGTGTTGCTTTTATTGATTAATGAATAAAGAAACTGCCTTGGCCTGTTGATAGGGCAGAACTTAGGTAGGTGGGGGGGGGGGGGGACGGACTGTACTGAATGCTGGGAGAAGGAAGGCAGAGTCAGACATGCCAAAACTTTGCTGGTAGGCCACGACCTCGTGGTGATATACAGATGAATAAAAATGGGTTAAATTAAGATGCAAGAATTAGCCAATAAGAAACTAGAGCTAGGGCTGGAGAGATGGCTCAGAGGTTAAGAGCATTGCCTGCTCTTCCAAAGGTCCTGAGTTCAATTCCCGGCAACCACATGGTGGCTCACAACCATCTGTAATGGGGTCTGGCCTGCAGACATACACACAAACAGAATATTGTATGAATAACAAATAAATAAGTATTAAAAAAAAAAAAGAAAGAAACTAGAGCTAATGGGCCAAGCAGTGATTTAAACCAATACAGTTTCTGTGTGATTATTTCGATTCTGGGCAGCCAGGACGAAGAAGCGGCCCTCCTCCAACACTTTAGTACCTGTCAAACATTATTTTTAAACAACTCTTCCTAAAATATTACAATAAGTCAACATATTAATAGATATGTAAGAGGACCTCTTTTAAAAGGCTTAAAAAGTTAATAGCCAAGACATGGTATCAAACTAAGTGTCCAATAGGAATGATGGAGAAAACAATGTGGAATATGTACAAAATGGAACCTTACCACTCAAAGAATGGATACATATGCAGATTCTTTTCTTTATATGAATATGAGTGTTTTGCCTGCATATATGTAGGTATACCATATGTATGCCTGGTGACTTGAGGCCAGAAGACAGTGTCAGACCCCTTGGAACTAGAGTTACAGAGAGTTGTGAACTACAATGTGGGTGCTGGGAACTGAACCCTGGTCCTCTTCAAGGATAACAACAAATGCTCCCCACCACAGAGGCATTTCTCCAGGCCCATATCATGCTGACTCTTAATTCAAACCCACACTGAAGAGCAGAGAGTCAATAGATGTAAGGGTAAGAAATAAAGACAAAAATAGGAAAGGCAATCATTCCAAAACATATCAATGGCATTTGTCAGGGGTGGGAAGGTATTGGTTTAGTTTGGTTTTTGAGACACAATCTTGCTAAAGAACCTTGAACTTGCCATCTCTGGCCTTAGCCTCCCCAATACACATGCCCAGCTCAAATGGCATCTGTTAATGTTCTGTTTCGAGAGTTGGACTGTAAACACAGGAATAAACTTCTCTTTAGATAAGTGCTTCTGTTCAAGAAACAGCTCACTAACGAACGAAAATAAACACTTAAAAAGAAAGCTGTTTTAGATAAAACTAACTTTATTTTTAAACAAAATATATACTTTTGAAACTGAGTTTTCATCTGAATTGCAAGATGTGAAAGAGACATTTAACCTGTCAGTTGTAAAAATACACTGGCAAGCTGGGCAGTGGTGACACACGCCTTTAATCCTAGTACTCAAGAGGCAGAGGCAGATGGATCGCTGAGTTCGAGGCCAGCTTGGTCTATAGAGTGAGTTCCAGGACAGTGCAGACTACACAGATAAACCCTGTCTTGAATAAGCAAATGAAACAAAACAATCAAATTAGCAAAACAACTCAATTCTTGTTTTACTGCTATGATAATTTGGAATTAATCAAAACTTACACACACTAGTCTTTCAATCTTAATTTTTAGAGAATTTAAAACTCTCATAAAACTTTATCCCAAGATCACCAGCAACTCCTCTGGAGTCACTGATGCCAAGTAAGAGCTCTAATCTCTACTGCTCTTTCAGTTTCAGTACTCATTTCTAGGTTTCTTCAATACCTCAGACATGCGAGTTGCTCTTCCATAACCAAACAACTTCGCCTTTATCTCTTCTACTTTCCTCCTGTCATCTTCATTTAATTCTGAAATGGAGTATCCATAGTCATGTCCTAAATTAAACTTTAGATTCAAGGCTGGAGAGAAAAAAAAAATCACAGTTGATATCTAAAAATTGTGAAACTGCTAATTTTTCAATGACTACATGAGCAAAGAAAACCAGCAACATCTGCCCCTTACTGTCCAGCACAAAGCTGAACATGTGGTCTTAAGTCGGTGACATATCAAGAGATCTTGTATGTGACATATTAAGGCTACCTACTCTCCAAAGCAGGGTATTTCTATGTAATCCAGGGTAACCCTGAACTCTGACTGTGTGCAGGGATTACAGGTGTGCCATCACACATGAACTGAAGTCTGAGCTTTGGAAACGTCCTCCACAGACGCACCTCCAAAGAAGCCACTCTAAACGCGGTATTTAAATTTAAATCATTAATCTTAATTTTTCTTCTGATCAGAGTCTCTTTACCTCCCTTAGTATCTGCTATAGTTACTAATGCTTTTATGATACCTAATACTTTAAATTAATAAACAAAACTAGAGAGATCTTGACAGCATCAAAATGTACAAGGAACAGCATAGATTACATCAAGTTAACATCAAGATTCCGAGTCAGTCTTGAAGTTAGTGCTTATGAGCTACTTAGAAGTTACTATCTAAAACATTTCTTCATGCCTTAAAGGTTGTTATGTACATTACAAAGATACTATTAGAGATTAATGAAGTTAATAAATATCCTCTTTTAGACTTCTAACCAAAATTTTAGTACTAAAGACCTTGATAAATGTTTTTCCCATACACCTTAGATCAGCTCCAAACATTTCATCAGAAAACAAAAAGAAAACATACATAGCTACAGGACACAAAATAATTTACAGAAGAGCAAATTGGAGGCATCTGTGTCCCCAAAACAAGGATATTACAATGAAAGAATTAAAGAAGCTCAGACTACTTCCTCAACGTCCATCTGACGTCTCCCAAAACCAGAAGCTCAGACTAGCACTACTGATCATATAACTTATTTATATCTTTGCTTTTGTTTTCCGGATTTTAGGTAGAAAATATAATCATTCTATAGTTCTATAAGAAAATAAATTCAGAAATTCAAATGTCTCAGTTTAAACTGCTAAGCTGTAACGTTCACAAGCCTGCATGTGCCTGTATAAGTCAGTCCTTACCTTGGGCTCGGACCCGACACTCCTCTTCCTCTGCCTTTTTAAGTATCTGTTTGGCTTGATTCAATGAGGATTCACACTGCAGAAGGTACTTCACATGTGCAGCCAAGGAGTCTACACTACCACAGCCATCCTCGCTCTCTGACAATCCCTCCTCCTCGCGGCTATCTGTTATGCTAGTCTTGGGTGAAGTATATGGAAAGAAGTTTAGAAAAACATCAGAAACAGACTCCAAAGACTCGGGTAAATTACTGTCCCATGAGCAGCAGCCATCACTTACTTCACTGCTTGAGTCACTCTTTACGAATGTCATCATAGGGATAATAATTTTATTCCCAATGCCTGTACTGCAACCTTCAGGTTCAGACCTCATTACAGACCTGGAAGCGTCCACCTGCCTGAAAGTTCCATCAAATGCCACCCTCGTTGAGCCTTCTGCTTCCTGTAGAGGACTTCTAAACGTAGTTGAACGAATAAACTCCCAATTTTCAACACCCCTCTGGCAACTGAAATTTGTCTGTGTGCCAATGTCCTTCTGTGCACACTCAATGTGAGGGATCTCCTCCATAAATGGCTCCCTCTGGGTACAAACATCAGTTGTGGAGGGTTCTCTGAAGCAAACCATCTTCTTTGACTGTATAAATGAAACATCGTTAACATCTCTGAAAGGAACCAAGGGAGCAGGGAAATTGCAGCGTTTCAGTGCTATATTTTCTGCTTCCATTAAAAGAGTCTGAATTTCTTTAAGAGTTTTAGAACCATGATCTATATCCCGGATTTCCTCACAGCCAACATCACCAAAACCTGAAGATTCTGGCTTACATATGATAACTCCGTCATCAATCTGAGAATTTAAAGGCATACTGTTTGCAATGAGAGAACAAGACTCAGGAGAATTCAAATTATCTATCAGCTTTTGGGCATGTTCTGAGACAAGTCGGTGCTTTTCACTGTGTGAATAAGTACCAGAAGAAAATGTAGGTAAATCAGAAATCTGGTCAGCTTGACCAAGACAACTTGAAACCTTCAGAGCATCTTCAGTTAGATGTCTGTCTGGCAGTTCCTGGGGGTATCCACAGGATGAATCCAATTTCTCTCTGTGTGAATAAGAACCAGGCAGAGGTACTGGTACACCTGTGCTTACAACTGTTGGTTCTGAGACAGTTAAAATCTTCGGAATATCTTCACTTTGATCTCTATCTGTTAACTGCTTTTGAACAAAAATAGCAGGTTTTACTTTTTGAGGACAGGAACCACGAAAAGCTGTTGGTAATGGAGTCTTTTGATCATCTGGTCCAATCACAGATGAAGCTGCAGGCTTCTCTCTATGTAGGCAGGACCTATGAGTAACTGTTGGCAACTCAATCTTCTGGTCATCCAGCAGATCTGCAGCTGAAATCTTACGTTTCTCCTTATGTGAGTAGGAACCACATGAGACTGTGGGTCTCCTATTCTGGTCAGATAGTCCAGGATCAGTTGAAGCCTTCAGAGAATTTTCAGTTAGAACATCATTTGGTGAGGCTTTTTGATAAAAATCACTCAACTTTTCTCTATGTAAGTAGGAACTAGAAGGCCCTGTTGGAGTCCCTGGTGTCTGTGCTGTAAGTGTAGAACCAGCTGACACTTTCAGGCCCTCTTCTGTGAGATGGTTGACTGGCAACTCCTGTGGAGAGAAAACACTGGCCTCTCTCTGTTTTAAATTTAAAGGTTCTGTTGTTTTCCCAACCTTTTGGACACCTAACGCATCCTCACCAGTACTTGGCAATTCCTGTTCATGAAAATCACTGAGCTTCTCTCTACTTGAGAAGGAAACTATTCGTGCCCGAGTCTTCTGATCAGTAGAGCCAGGTCCTACTGCTTTCAAAGATATTTCAGTAAGATCTGGTGACTCTTGCTGGTAAGAGATGAGGGGCGTTGCATCCTTTGAGTTAGGGACAGAAGGCACTGCTCCAGAATCAGCTAAAATTTGCAAAGCTTCTTCAGTAAGATCTGGCAATTCCTGCTGATAAGAAACATTAGGCGTCTCACTGTATAAGGGAGTAGAGGGCACTACTTGTACTTCAGTTTTCTGTTCAATAGGTTCAGTATCACCTAAAACTTCCAAAGCTTTTTCACTAAGATCTGGAAACTCTTGCTGGTAAGAAGCAGTAGGCCTCTCTATTTTTGAGTGGGAAGTAGAAGGCACTGTTGATATCCCAGTCTTCTGGTCAGTTGGTCCAGGAACAACTGAAACTTTCCCAGAGTTTTCAGTTAGAGGCCTATCTGGCAACTCTTGGTGGTAAGAAACAATGGTATTCTCTAGATTTGAGTATAAAGAAGAGGTGATAAGCCCATCCTTCTGGTCAGCTGGCCCAGAAACAACTAATACTTTGCAGTCTTTTTTAGTTAACTGACTATCTGAAAAGGCCTGCTGATAGAAAATAATGGGCTTTTCTCCAAAAGAATAGGGAGTCGAATTTACTGGTGGCTCCCCAGTCTTCAGGTCAACTGGTCCAGAAGTTAAAACATCTGAAGCTTCTTTAGGAAAATGACCATCTGGCAAGGTCTGTTGGTAAAAAATATTGGATTTCTCTCTAACTGGATAGGAACCTGATGGTCCTGCTGGTGTGCTAGTCTTCTGTTCAGTCAATCCAGAAATCCCTGGAACTTTGAAACACTCTGCAGACAGAGGGTTACCTGACAAGCCAGGTTGGTAAAAAATAATGGACTCCTCTCCAGGGAAGTAAGAACTAGGAGACACTGCTGGTGCCCCAGTGTTCTGGTCAGGTGGTGCAGGAGCAGGTGAAACCTTCAGAGACTCTCCAGGCAAATGACCACCCAGCGGAGCCTGCTGGTAAAAAATATGAGGCTTCTCTCTTTGTAAGAAGGAAGTACAGGTTACAGTTGGCATAGCAATGCTTTGGTCAACTGTACTAGTAGTAGCTGTAGTTTGTAGAGTAGCTGAAGTTTGTAGAGTCTCTTGATAAAGAGGACCTGCCAGGGCTGGTTGATAGAAAATACCAAGCCCCTCTTTTTGTGAATAAATAGAAGGCAATGACATTGTTGGGGTCCCTGTCTTCTGGTCTACTGATCCAGTGGTACCCAAGACTTTCCGGGCCTCTTCAGTTAGGTAGCTGTCCGGAAACTTTTGCTGATGAGAGATATTGAGCCTCTCTTGATATGAGTAGGAGGAAGAGGTTATAGTTGATATTCCAGAGAGCTGACTAGCTGGAGGTGTTGGCTGGTAGGGCAAAACAGGCTTTTCTGCAAGTGATGGAGAAGTAGGGGATACTGTTGACAGATCAGTCTTCTGTACAGCTGGCCTCAGGATAAATGTTTTTGTAGATTTTTCTGTTGAATGACTATCTGGCAACTCCTGTTGATAGAAAACACAGGGAATCTCAACATATGGGTGAGAAATTCCAGACTTCTGGTCAACTGGTCCAGATACAAATGAAACTTTCTGAGTCCCTGCAGGTACATGACTGTCTGGCAACTCTTGGTAGTAAGGAACAGTAGGTTTCTTTTGATGCTGGTAGGAACTAGAAGACACTGTTGGAATGTCAGTCTTCTCATCAGCAGATCCAGACTCAATGGAAACTTTCATTCCTTCAGGCAGGTTCTTTGCTCTGTGAGAATAGGAAAAAGGTAATTCTGATAGTAAAGGAGTCTTCTGGTCACCTCGGCCAGGAATAACAGAAATGGGCAATGCTTCTTCAGTTAGATGACTGTCTGACAATGTCTGCTGGTAGAAAGCTTTAGCTATCTCTTTATGTGGCTGGGAAGCAGAGGTTACTGTTGGAGACCGAATCTTCTCAGCTGATCCAGAAACAGCTGAACCATCCAGAGGCTCTTTGTCTGGATAACTTTCTAACAGAGGATACTGATAGAAAATAGCAGGTTTTATTCCCTTTGAGTAGGGACTAGAGTGTACCGTTGACATCTCCGGCTTCTGAGCAGCTGGCCTAGGAGCAGATGACACTTTCCAAGTCTCTTCAGTAAAATACCTATCTGTGGAAGGGCCTACTGCTGCTCCAGTCTTCTGATCAACAGGCCCAGGAGCAACAGAAACTTTCCAAGGCTGATGGCTCAAATAACTTTCTGGCAAAGCCTGGTAATACAAAGTATGAGACTTTTCTCCATGCGACAGAGAAGGAAAGGGTGGTACAGTTATCCCAACATTCTGGGTAGCTGGTCCAGGAAGAGCTGAACCTCGCACAGTCTCTTCACTTAAATGACTCTTTGCCATTTGTTGGTAGAAAACATTAGGTCCTTCATGTGTGTAGGAAGTAGGGAGTGAAGCTGGACTATCAAACTTCTGGTCAGTAGGCCTTGGAGCAGCTGAAGTTTTCATAATGTCTTCAGGTAAATGACCACCTGTTAGGACTTGTTGATAGAAAATACCAGGCTTCTCTCTTTGTGAATAGGAAGTAGGGATTGCAGGTGATTTCCCAATACTTGGGGTAACTAATCCAAGATGAGGTGAAGTTTGGGAAGCCTCTTCAGATAGACGGCCTTCAGGTACAACCTGTTGATAAAAAATACCAGGCTTTTCAAGTTTTTCTCTATGAGAGTGCAAAATGGAGGATACTACAGGTATTCCAGTCTTGTGGTCAACCAGTTCAGAAAGAACTGAACCGTTCACGGCCTTCTAAATTGAATAGCTAGCTCTCTGGACATCCCTGCTGGGTTTCTCACTGTATGAGTATAAAGAAGAGGGTACTGCTGTTGCCCTAGTCTTCAGGTTGGTGGGTAACAGCAGAAATTGTTAATGACAGGCCTATTGCATGACCACCTGGAAAAATACTGAACTTTTCCCTATGTGGGTAGGAAGTAGAAGGTGCTGACAATACCTTCTGGTCAGCTAATTCAGGAATATTTGCAATGTTCAGCCTCTCTTTAGTGAGATGCTAATCTGTCAATACTTTCATGTTTACAATATAAGCGTGGTGATCAACAGCATTCAGAGAACTTACAGCAAACTGAGACAAATCCTCAAGGGACAAAGATGAGTGTGTTCTGATGTCTGACTCTCCAAGAGTGTTAGTGATATCTGGTTTCAACTTGGATTGAGTAATTGCAACTTTGCCTCCTTTAGAAGTGTCTCCTTTAAAAAGAAACAAAAAAGGAAAATAAAAAATACAATGATTTGTTAATGTTATATAAATACATATTTTTTCAATTCATTTTTTTTCTTTTGCCAATGAGAGATGAGTCAGCAGATAAAGCACTACTGAGCAAGCCTGACAACCTGGACTCAGTCCCTGAAACTCCTGTGAAGATGGCAGGAAAGAACTAACAAAGTCTTTCTAAGCTCTGCTCACGTGCCGGAGTACACACACACACACACATACACACATACACATACACACACACACACATACACACACACACACACACACACATACACACACACACACACACACACACACACACTAAAAAATTTTGAAACTTTAAAAATTCCTTTCTTTGTACACAAATATAAATTAAGAAAGGAAGCTTTATTACTTCAGGCCTTTAAAAATTTAGAATTCTATAGAAATAACAAATGAAATAGATGTAAAGAAGATATTAACTATAAGGCAAACTAAAGTAAAAATAATTAGCAACAGAATTAATAGCGCAAAAATAACAGAATATACATTTACAAATTGTTATAGGTCTTAAAATTGGGAGTTTTTAAGGATTTTCAACTGAATGTTAGGTCTGGGATTTGATTTCTTCCTACTTTCAATCTAAGAGCCTGCTATTATACTATGAATGGTGGCAGGAGACATAAGACCCTCAGTTACAGAAAATAAGAAACAAAATTATTATCCATGGTCCAACAAACCACCAGCTTAGTTAGCTTCAATGTTTCTCTGGATAACCCAGGTCTATTCCCAGCACCCACACAGCAGCCTAACAACCATCTGTAACTACAGTTCCAGAGGATCTGATGCCCTCTCTTCTAACCTCCATAGGCACCAAGCACACACATGGTAAAACATGCATGCAAACAACACACTCATACAAATAAAGTAAAATAATCTAAAAAGTAAAAAAATAAATTAAGAAGACATTTCTCTGGTCCTCAAGTCCAGTGGAGGCATTGAACTTCAGAGCAGATAGGCACTATGCATGTATAGATTCAAATTATTTTTTCTAATATTTATTTTCTTTAAATAAATGAAACTATACAAGTCTCTAAGAAGTATGAAGTACATGGCACAGGGAGTTATTAACAGTTTGGATAAGAACCATTCTGCATAAATAAGGATTCAAGATGGGTAGAAAGGGAATGTGGACATCTGCACAGCACAAAATAACAAAGCTTTCAGTAACGGCAGACTTGTTCTATTTCAGTCAGTTTAAAACAGTAATTTTAAATGACGCTTAATCTGTCTGAATAGCCATTTAAATACATAATACAAATGTCAAAAGTCTGACAGCTTGCTCAATCATCCAGTAATTTACTTAAGAAATATATGTACTGGCCGGGCGGTGGTGGTGCACGCCTTTAATCCCAGCACTCGGGAGGCAGAGGCAGGCGGATCTCTGTGAGTTAGAGACCAGCCTGGTCTACAGAGCTAGTTCCAGGACAGGCTCCAAAACCACAGAGAAACCCTGTCTCGAAAAACCAAAAAAAAAAAAAAAAAATATATATATATATATATATATATGTACTATGTGCTCAGACATTGTTTCAAATACAGACTATAAAGAAGAGACAAACAATCGTACTTCACATACTTTACAAGATAGCAGGAAAATTCACAACAGATAAACCGGCAAAATCATGGTTTGTCAAATGTTGGCAATAAGATTATTAAATATAACAAGTATTATCCATACTTTACATACAAGAAAGTTTCCTCTCTCCAAAAAAGAACTATATGATCGAGTTTCTAAATGTAGGGCTCTTGCTAACATGCACACTCTTGATTCAGCAGGTCTCAAGGTAAAACCTGAAATTCTACACTTCTACAAGTTCCACAGTGACACAGTGCTAGAGTACTTCACAACGTTCAATTCTACTTCTGATTTACAGATCCCTTCTACTGAATCCCCTTCTCTAAAGCTATTGTTGAGCATCAATTGATAACTGAATGTTGAGAGAAAGAGGGTGAGCAATGAGTTGCAAAGACATAGAAGTATCAAGTGTTAATTCTTCGAGAAAACAAAAAGCAAAAGAAAATATGAAACGCAATATAACTTGAGGAGAAAATGTGGGGCATGAATATTTTTATAAAAATATTCATGAAGGCCGGGCGGTGGTGGCGCACGCCTTTAATCCCAGCACTCAGGAGGCAGAGGCAGGCGTATCTCTGTGAGTTCGAGACCAGCCTGGTCTACAGAGCTAGTTCCAGGACAGGCTCCAAAGCCAGAGAAACCCTGTCTCGAAAAACCAAAAAAAAAAAAAATTTCATGAAGTTAATAAGCCAAAACAAACAAGGCAAAATCTTATATCCCCCAAAGACTTTCCAATTTGTCTAAGTTTTTACTTCCTTTTGACTATTACAAAAAGTATTAGCACACCACGAAGGAAGCAAATGAGATGAATGGCCAAGGACTGAAGATATAACCCAGACCTCAAAAGATGGAGAGGTTTATATGCGCTAATGAAACCTGGGGAAAAGGGAAAAGATTAGTAAAGGAAACTTGAAGAGGGGGTAAGAGGTAAGCTGCTAAAAGGGAGAGAGACTCGCAGTGTTAAAGAAGAAATTTCCCTCCAGCTCTATGCAAACTTAAAGGCATATACTTCAAAATGTCAGAAGCATCCATGGTCATAAACCTAGTAATTATATTTGAAAGTGTTTGTACAGGTAAAGAATTCATGATGACAGATGGCTAACTGACATAATTGTAGGGTGCTTTTTACTCTCTCAACCCTGGGAGAGAGAAATAAACACACCAAGTATTACTACTTAGCTCCTGAATTCACAAAGATCATTTTCAGAACTGGGTTGATTTAAAGTTTTGATTACAGAAAAGAAAGGATATTGCCAGAGGAAAGTCATTAATGGACCATAATTGCCTTCCAATGTGAAAGGTGCACCTAATAGAGACGTGATCAAGACTAGAGAGTCGGTCAGGCTTTGCTCAGGAACTCTTCCCAGGAAGCAAATGCTTATTTACATAGAGGCCTCCTTAGGAGACAGAACAGCATACGAGGACCTGAAGCAGTCTTCAGCCTGAGTTAATAAAGCAAACAACACGAGATGCCACCCCAGACCTCCACCCCACAGGTGACTAAGGGCTGCTTACTCATCATTCCAGCTCAGTTGCTAGGCGCATTAACACTAACACACCGAAACAGATCGGTGCATGTGCATTTCTGAGGGTTGGAGAGATGGCTCAGTAGTTGCAAGAGCACTTGTTCTTGCAGAGTTCTGGATCTGGGTTCAATTCCCAACAGCAAAATGGCAGCTCAAAACTCCAGTTCCGGGAATCTAACGAGTTCCAAGGAATCCTCTTAGCCTTTGGGAGCACCAGGTATGCAGAGGGTGCATATAAAACAACCATACACATAAACAAAAATAAATAAAATTATAGAAAAAATAATGGACTTCAGAATAAAAATGGGCTATAAACAGGAGTTTCAAAGCTAAAAACCTATAGGTGGTAGGGAAGGCTCACATGCTGCTCTTGGGCATCAAATCTTAGCAGACTGGCCCTGAAAGAACGTTTCTTTCTTCTCAGAATCAGAGAGATTAAAGGAGATCAGGGAAATGAGGGCAGTGAAGACAGACACTTTAACCCACATTAAGTGACTGACGGCACTGAGACAGACTCTGCACCTCTACATAAACAAGTGACGTAACTGGGAGATAGAAGTCAATTCTCTTGACCAGGTTTCTCTGTGTAGTTTTGAAGGCTGACCTTGAACACACAGAGATCCACCTGCCTCTGCCTCCCAAGTGTTGGAATTAAAGGTGTGTATCATCACCAACCAGCTATTATTTTTATCTAATTAATATTTATTTCTATTTTTACTCAATCCTCCACATTTTTAATTTTTGAAATTATAATTACATTTCTCCCTTCTCATTCCTCCCCATCCTCCTTCAAACTCATGGCCTCTTTTTCACTAGTTGTTATTGCATGAGTGTGAGAAAGAGAGAGAGAGTGTGTGTGTGTGTGTGTGTGTGTGTGTGTTCCTAAATATAACCTGCTCAGCCCACATAATGTGACTTGTATGCGTGTTTTCAGAGCTGACTATTTGGCATTGGACAATCAATTGGTGAGCTCTCCTGGGGAAGACGACCTCTACTGCTCCCAGCTTTCCTCAGCTGCCTACAGTTCCTTGTTAGGGTTGAGGCCTCATGGGTTTTTTCCCCATCCAGTTTGGTATGTCCACTGGCATCAGCCCCTGCTTAATTTATATTTGGACTGTTATGTTGGTGAGACTCCCCTTTTGTTTCTCTCTCTCTCTCTTCCCTATCATAAGCCTCTTACAGAGATTGGCTTAAGTCATATTGACTAAATCAGACAGAGCAGCTCAAATACAACTCTTAATTCATTTTATATACCTCCCATTCTTTCATTCATTTTTAAAATTGCCTTAACTTGACAATTTTTTAGATCAGTTATTTCCGTATGGGAGAAAGGCTCTCTCACAACGCACATGGTGGTTCAGAGCCTCCTGAGTGCTGGGAGGTTGCCTGACTCTATTTCTTTTCTCTTCCCATTCTACCCTGCATTAGAGCCACCTTTTTTTTCCATATTGTTACACCTTTCTACTTACTTTTCTGTTTTTCTCCATTCTAGTCTTGCTCTGCTTATTTTCTTTGTATTCCTAATGTCAGTAACTAATAGCTTAGTATGCACTATATTGGCCTTGTTATTTTATTCCTCAAAACTCACTGGAGTTGGAGGTTTGATGGTTTTTTTCTTGGCTATTCCTCTATCTTCATAATAGTGTTACCCATCAATTGTGGTTACTTCTACAGTTTACAGTCTGTACCTGCAAAAGCTGAAGACCGTGTCCAGTGCCCAGAACATGCGTGCTAAAGGTTAAACTACAAAGAACAATGGCTACTGAATACTATTGAGAAAAACTACACTTCATCCTTATCACAGTAACTTAGTCCTGGATGAATAATGAAAATACTTAAACTGAAAGAA